ATTGGACGTGTGCCCCCACCATAGACGTCCGCCGCACGCCGACGACGGTGCGCCTGGCGGGCATCCAAACAGCCGTGCCTCAACCCTGGATTCAGCTACTGTGAATGCTGCTGATGCAGTCAACGATTCCTTGCGCTCCAATCACCGGCATTTGCTCTCAGACAGCACAGTCCTTGCGGATCAGCTCCCTCACCCAGAAAACGGATGAGGTTGAGGTCGTGCCTGCAGAGCTTCGCAGAACACCAAAAGCAAGCTTGTATCTCGTTATGGGCAATCGCAAGAGCTTCGCCGGTTGTGAACTGCAAGCGAGAAGGACGAAGGAAAACGAGTGCCTCCAGTCTTCACTTCTGCGAGCTCCCTCTTCACGTCTGCGAGCTCGAGCTCCCTCTTCACGTCTCTTACGTCGAGCTCCGTGATGCGAGCTGACAAGGCATCAATCTCGCTGAAAAAGATCTCTCCTGCCACGAACCTCCTGAAATCGTGAAGCTCCTCGCTGCTCATCTTCTGCTGCTCGGACCACACTCGCTCCATGCAAAGGGTCACACCTTTCTTGAAGCCCCTCTCCAACCTGCCTACGCAAAGGTCTGCTATCTGCAGCACCGATGCCAGATCGGCGTCTTGAGCCGCAGACATGATGCCCCTGAAGAAGACCCTCACCTTTTCAGCAATCTCACTATCTGACCCCGCCAGCAAGCCTCGCGTTGACTCATCGCTGCTGGTGGCCAGAAAATCGGCCCATTGGACTCTTGGTGGCTGAAGGGATGTGCTGCCTTCAGGATTACAAATCAGGAGAAGGTTCGCGGGAGTCGGGTCCGGCACGTGAAAGTTCAGGCCGATCATGAGGAGCACATCGTGGACATACGAGAACAACAGCCCCAACAGCCGACCGCGTGTGATAGCACCGGCGCAAGCGCACTGCCCAATCATCCAGTCATGGACTGTGCAATTCGCCTGCTGCCTCAATTCCACATGCACCTTGGCGTCTGGGAGGTCGTCGTGCTCGATGCAGAGGCTGCACGCCGAGTTTGGGAGAAAGACCCCAAAACACATGGATTGTAGACTGGCCGCCTTGACGCCAATTTCAGCACCTCTGACAATTGTCTCTTCCGACATCGCATGCAAAAACTTGTTTGCGGCGCGGAGGACCCGCGCTGCCATGTCTCTCGCCTTCTCATCCCCAGCTGTTACGGGAGTGCTCATCAAAGCCTTTGCCAGCTTGGCTGGGTCATAGTGCTGAGGAAGAGTTGAGCTAACAAAGACAGCCATGCCGACAGAGCAATCCTTGCTCTTAAGGAACACAGTTGTGCCACCCGAAAAGCTGTGCTCGGCATCCAATAAACAGCGCGAATACTTACTCAACGAAGCCTTGCACCTGGGGCAATCCCGCCCGCCTGTTCCGCACACACTCTCCTCTGCCAGTGGTAGACCATCATCCGCGTGCAGGGCAGGGAGAGCGAGTACGGCGGCCACAAGGCGACGCCACATGGCTGCTCACAAGCACTGAGGCTGCGCTATCGCGGAACTTCACTTGTCCAGCTTGTGGTGTTTTGTGGGCCAACGAGGCCGGCACCGAAACAAATCCCATGTGTGACGATTTTCCAACATGCACTCTACAAGAAACCAAAAAGGAGAGCGGCAGATAAGACTCTGATGGATTCGCACCTGCACCTCAAACTGGAGGACATAGAACTACACTGCATGGCACCAGGGCAACGCGAAGAAATCGACAAACGCCAGTGTGGAAAAANNAAAAACATGAAAAAGCAAAAGCTTGCCCCGACCGAAACTGGGCCCTCACTGGGATTCAAGAACACTGCCCGAGCCTTCCAAAACTGCTCAAGAACAAGTCCACCCAAACTGCTTTTTGGGAAAGGGAGAGTTGCGGGTGAACCCACTACTCAAAAATGGGCTAAGTGTGCCAAATGACCACGTAGACTTCGAACCCCATGAAGCAAAACGCCATGCTTTGCGGAAAATTTGAGCCTGTGAAATTCTTTTCTTCAAGGGGAGGTTTAGAGGCAAGGTGCCTGGGGCCGCAGGCTGAGCCGAGCTGTCAACGCCGCACACGCAGCGGCGAGGTCCGCCAAGTAAGCTTCAGCATATCTTCAGAGAGGGCCCAGCTTCAGAGCCCCCAGACGTTCGACGATGCGACCCTGCGACGGCGGGCGGCGACGACGGCGGGCGACGGCGAACGGCGGGGGCCGGCACGGCGACGGCGACGACGGCGACGACGGCGACCCGGCGAGGATGCACGGCCAGGACGCTCGATGGCGCACTCGGCTCGGACGATGAGCTCGAGGGACGACGCTCGGCTCGGACGACCCTGCGACGACGGTGACAGCGGCGACGACAGTAAGTTTGAAGGCATGGCCCATTGCGAGAGATGGGGTGCTGCGGGGCTAGGGCGGCAAAGCATTCGCAGGGCAGCGGATCAAACCTACTGCGGTGACGACGGGGAGTTAGGGTGCCCTGAACCGAAAAACCACACCCAAAAACCAAAAACAGACGAAAGCACTCAAACAACCTGGTACTGCGAAAGTCGGCGAGACCAACGAGACTACTGACTACAAAGCAAAAAATAGCAGTAGCATCATCGAGGAAAAA